TTGTAAAGGTAGAAGTTTTGTAACAAAAAAGGGGAGTGGTTAATCTTACAGTCCAGAAACAAAGAACCCTAGGACCATCAAGAGAGGAACGCACAAATAGAGTGTGGGACCTTATCCAGAGAAGCAGCAGAGCCAGAGATGGAGGCAGAGATGGGGGCATGGAGAGGGGGAGCGTCTGAGGACACTAGATTCATCAACTAAGAAGAAAAGGACTAAGAACTGGTGGCCAGGAACAGACTTGCAGAATGTGCCCTTTGGAGATGTAAATTATTACATATGCCTGAGTGGGGTTTTTTTTGTTTGTTTGTGTATTTTTTAAAAAGCTAAAGTGGATAGAGAGAAATACTTTTAACTCATGGTATATGGAGTGGATTATAATCAATGTAATGAAACAAGTTATATGAATGGTTGAATGTGAAACTGATGATGTGCTCTGTAAACTTTCACTCAATCCACAATAAAAACCTTAAATAAAAAAAAAAAAAAAAAGACATATTTGAGCTGGGTCTTGAAGGATGAGTAAGAGTTTTCCAAGGAAAGAGGAACGGTATTCTAGGCATATGGAATAGTCTTTATTTAATAAGTATTTAGTGAGACCTTAACATGCACCACCTCCTATTCAGAAGTATAGAGGCATGAAACAGCACTTGCAAACCAAGAATGACAAGACATGATGCTGGAGAAGTAGGAGGGAGCCATGTCAGAAAGAGCTTTAGATGCCATGAACGTGGGGGAATGGCAGAGCAAAGACATGGGTGTGGAAGTGATCTTGATGTGGGAAGGGCATTATGGAAAAAGTGTATGTATGTGCACGTTGCAGGAGATAGTCAGGTGAGTGAGTTAGGCTCAGAACCTCAGTATAATGTGGGTGTGCTTTGATGTCGAATAAAGGGTGAAATTTCGATGTGGACCAACCAATCTTGGGGAATTTGGTTCTGGTTTCCATGTCACATTGTTATTGATCAGCCTTTCTTCTGTCTCTTTATCTTTCCATACCTTTGGCTCCCTGTCTCCCTCACTTTCTCCTTTCTCTTACTTTCCACATCCTTTCTCTGGCTTCCCTCCTTGTTCCTTCCCTTTTCTATTACAGAAAATGATGAAGAAAGAAGCACTTCTCCTCATCCCCAACGTCCTGAAGGTCTTCTTAGAAAATGGACAGATCAAGTCGTTCACATTTGATGGCCGGACCACTGTTAAGGTACATACAGAGTCTCCTGTTGGGTCACCTCTCCAGATGACAAACAGCAGTTGGTCTTCAGGTTCTTCTGAGTCTGTACATAGTTACTCACTGATGGAACAAGGTGGCCTTTGAGCTCCTGCAGCTTGTGAGGCTGAAAAAAGACCATCCTTAGATGGAGGTGAAAGGGTGTTCAGTGGGCATGGAAGTTTACATGCTCAGCTGTGTGCTAGTGATTGTGTGTGTGTTGGGGGGCACATAGGTACACGTCTAAGTATGAACTGCTTTGTATCCATGTTACACTGGGCCTTTTAGACTCTTAAGAACCAAGGAGTGTTAAGATCTTTAAGCAAGTCATTTACATAAAGCAAAGGCAATATTTATTGATACACTAATACCTACGCAAGTTTACATACAGAAATCAACAAATACAATCTCTAGAGAGCTTAGTTTAGCCTTGCCTTGCTTTTTAAATAGCAACCATATCTTAGACACTGAACCAAGATTTGAAAGTCCAGCCACGGCCCCTTTGGCTATTCCTTTCACAGGAAGAGCACTTACTGAGCTATAATTCTTAACCGCTCAGTCAGGCATCTACAAGTTGTAGTGATTCTCATAGTCCTGACGAGTAGAAGTGATTATATGATTAATCCTTAGGTTCACTTTGCTCTGGAACAAAAACAACAAAAATCCACTCCTGCTTCTTCTGGACTCTCTCCAGAAAGAGGGATGTTTTAATGCAGCCAGTACTGTACAAACTACTGGGTACCTACAGTGCTTACCCAGAAAGCCCACCTTGACCTACAGTTGCCCTGAAGTGCCAATGCTGATGCAAAGAAAAACCT